GATAATGTGGACGTATCATAAGCAGGACTAGACTCAAATTAAGCCGTAAAGATTGGAAGGCAGTAACCATTGCTCACAGACGCTGTCCTGTGTTCCTGACATATCGCACCGTAATTTCATCGACATCAAATTACCCTGGGACAGGGAAATTAAGGACACGGCTGTTCTTCAGATGCCAATGAGACTACATTATACACGTACCTCCGGGTGCCAATTATACATTCATCTGTAAAGACGAGATTCATGTCGCGACGGATCCGACACATTTGGCTGTGGGCTGCGAAAGCAATATTCCCGTACGTGTTTTCTTCGTCATTATTCCATCATGAATTCCCGGTAGTGCTGTTAAAAAAAATAACCCCGTCACGAAATGCTCTCCGTGTATTTCTCTGAGACTGAAACAGTTGGGATTAAATTTCCGATTAAATAAATGTACAAGCGCAACTACGTGTCAAGCCGTTATACTATCATTTCCCTTTATTTTCATGTTTTTTTTTCTTTGCAGGTTTTTTTTTTCAGAGTTCAAACGAGACTGAAGCGAGACGTAGGCTGGCTACGTCTCTATATTTCTCAAAAAGACATGTTGTTATTTGCCTTGCCTTTCGGAATCAAGACATAAAACGGCTAAAGGTAAGTTGGCCCTATTTTTACAGGATTATATTATATGCAGGATTCTAAGGAGCATGCTCGTGTGTTCTCTAATATAATATTTACGGATATTGTTTTTCTTCTAAAATAAAAGTAGTCAATGAAGCAATTAATGATAATATTTAGAGAACGGATTGGTATACGATATAGGCCTACCTAATATGGCGATATTGTTCAGTGCTAGTCTACACAATTATCAAGTTCGAATCCGTTTCTAATGTGACTAAAGTCAATAGTTTCCCATCAATAAAACCATCCGATTAACGATAATTGAAAATCCTACGCGTTGAATGGTATTCATGCGATCGGGGCAAATCAACATCTTGAAATTGCCGTGTGCTCTTTGTGTTCGTATACTTCTCGCGGTATTGTTCTCAATGACCACTGTTCGGCACATAACAATAATGACCAGCATACTACTAATTCAGCTTGAACACTGTATTATGCGCAAGAAGGCTATTTATAACGTGAGTTACCAGACCTTTTCCAATCCGAGAAAGGTCTCTGGCAAATTACATAGCCATGACAGCACATCACAAGTGCAACTTCCACAAATTCGGGATATCAAAGTCATTTCCGCCCAAGTATACCGGTGCCCGCGGAGGCGGCTGTTTTCATGAATATTACTCCGTTCTACCTGGGGACCTTGAATAAACCGGCATTCTTCGATGCTTTCTTTTTCCTATAATCACAATTTCTGTTTGACAAGCAACCTTGCAAGCAAAGTCCCAAATTAAAACAACTATCCGAAGGCCTCCTCATGATATATGGGCCCAGACTTTGGCGGCTGACATTTCGTGTTATGCGAACGGGTCTACTTCTCTTGAAAAAAATGAAAAAAACTTGTTTGTATGCCACGGAAATTACAATCTTTTTGTAAAAACAGAGACTGTTTTTGAAAGATAAATGGAAACTTTGGTTACAAAAATATTTGTTCATGTTTGTCAACACGAAACCACGCTTCTTGCAAGCTACAATAATAATTTACCTGCATGGTAATGGAAGCCTTTACGCACAAAAAAAGCAACTGAAAAAGAAATACAGCATTTTACACAGGAATTTTTCCTTCCCATCTCTGAATGTCAAACCAATCCAACTCGCTTTTCATTCTTAGTGCAAGTTATCAAATCATGTTTTGCCTCGCCGGCTACAACAAACCCGACCATCGGGGCCGGAAGTCGGTGCATTCACAAATACTGACGACGTCTATAGAGGTAATTGCATAACGTTCAGGGCTGATGCAATACAGTACAAGACTTGATTGTATCAAACGTTCATTAAGTCTTCGGCAATTTCATTTGACTTTCCGACCTTTTTTTGTTCATGTGATTATCGTGTGGCTCGACGAGGCTGTATTGTGACAGTAGCTCAAAAGATTCCAAAACAATTTAATTTTTGTTCGAGTTTCATATTTATAATCTGTTCTTCCAAACGTATTTTATACGTACAAATAACGTAGGCCTACATTTTTTTTTATTAACGTTTGATTTTTGAGTCAACGGCTTCCGTTCCGGATGGGCAATTAATGTGGTCATCTCGTGACCTCGTTTGCATTGCAAATGGCACTAACTACACGTTCTCATCTGCAAAGCTTGCGAGCTGTCGTGTACCTTGGGGCAACATTTAGCCGATGTATTGATCGCTAATAAAAGACAAAGGCAGTTCGTCCAGCCTTGCTGGTAATTATCTCCATAATGAGGGGTATATAGCTACAGCCCTTCGAGGCCAAACTGACCTGCAGGAAAATAAGCTTTCCACAACTTAATGACTTTCCAGGCGTTCATAGAAACATTTCTGAAAGGCATAAATATTTGACAGCATAGGGTTGTTACACAGTGTTGAGTTGGTTTCGTTTAGGTTTTTTTTTTTTGGGGGGGGGAGGGGGTGTTTCTTTTAATATTTCATTTGCACTTGCAAAAATCTTATGAAATTTGATGGCAGTAGAGCAATGTGAGTTTTCTTAGTATTTCATTTAATACGACCCTAAGATTATCTTTTCACTTCAATGTCCTTTGTTGAGTAGCTGACATGGTCTCTAAAACCGTCAGGTTAGTATATTTAGCAGCAGGAAGTAGAGAGAAAACAATTCAGTTGAAAAAAATACTAGAATAAACGAAATATAAGTTATCATGTATAAATGAGACTTCAAGGTTTGCACGGTGGACATGATATCAATGAATAGGAGGTTTGCAGTAACACGTGAATGATATTTCAGTGTGGTTCTGGAAGAACCATTTGGTTTAACTCGACGTTTCGAACAGTATGCTCTGTTCGTCATGAGTCTCCTGATGACGAACAGAGCATACTGTCTGAAACGTCGAGTTGAAACAAATGGTTCTCTCTCAGAACCGCACAATCAGCCAAAAGATATCATTCAAACCTCCAATGGTTATCATGCATAGGCCTACTTCATATAAAAGCTCGTAATTATGGTATGAGCGGTTTTGCCACGAATCATTTTGACCTTTCCAACGATCGGAAATTAACGGATTTGTGTACTCAAGACGGTTCTTATAAGCCTTGGTTTTCGAGACTTGAAACAGTTGGTAATCTGTACGGTTTCGCGATGGCCTCGTCCCGTATAGGTCACCTCGGTCAGTTCATTATGCAGCCCTGCCAGCCGGCCTTAATTCCAGGCGACGTCGAAAATAATGGATCTCATCTAGATCCATCTCGGACAAACGCAAAGCGATTCCACCATACCCGTCTCAATGCATTACGCCGTGTAGCTTGTCAAATCAGCTACTTATACAGCATGCACGCACCGTGACCCACGAGCAAAAGATAGAGCGGTCGGTAGTTCACACAGCGACCATCGGCAATCATGTTCATTGCCCGGAATAGCTTTCAGCAAAGACCAAACCCATTACTCAATGCATAATGTATCTTTGACGCTCTCCTCTCTGAGGTTGGCATGGAAAAACGCGGGAAATGTCGGCAACATGACATACGTGTATACAAATAAGACTCGCCGACTGAGAAGGTCTCCATTCCCGGAAACATGCGCTAAATCATGTAGCTGGAAGCGAAAACTACCACTTTTTAATGGAAGTCACCAATTACAAGGCCGAAAGCCACTTCAGGTAAAGGGCTGCAAATTAAGGCGCACAAACAAGTGGTCGATTGCCCCTGTACCACAAAAAATACACCTGAGGTACGTGATGTGCACGACCTAATCTGAAAGACACCTTTTCTGGTGCTTCCCCAAAAGGAGTCTTACTCCTCAAAACCCTTCACTTGTATATATGATCCAATTTCTGATAATTTTAATTGCCAAATACTGATTGAGTATAAAATGCTCTGTTATCAGGGATATATTGGATCACAAGGGTATTAGACTGACCAGGAAAAAAATGCTCTACGTACGATGACTTTAAGCATGAGTTGTAGAGAATGGTTGTCCAGTTCAAGTGGTCTGATAGCGCGTACGGCTCAAGTGGCGCGGGGTTCAATGATCATCAACTGCAATCTCGATCGGGTCGTTCGATAAAGATACAAGAGTTTTCTCTCTATATCATTCTGGTTCGCCGCTGATTGCATTATCGTCTGCTCATTTATATTCAGCGCACTCAGAACCATTGAATTCATTATTACTATCTTTTAATTTCAAATCAATGATTTGGTTGCACGCTACCTTTCTGGAGTTGTGCATGCAGTTGAATTCTTTCAGCTTAACCTTCGGTCTGGGATGAAAATGGAACAGTTTCTAAGCATCTACTGGGTTTTTGTTATGAGTTTTCTTATGAACAAGTGTGTTCTGAAGATTTTCCATTGTTTCAAGTTTGGTTTAAATTCATTTTGGCTTAATTTTCCCAGATTTATAGACATTCACTAGTTATACGAAATAAAAAAGGTTTCTGTCTTATTTCCTTACAGTAAAAATTTACTCTTTTCTAGTGAAAATTCACTTACACACACTGAACCTAGGCACCAGATGTGTTAGCATAATATAGCTAGAGAGTGGCCCGAAAACATGAAGTAAAGGTGTTAAACAAAATCGTTGGAATTTTTTTAATTTTTGACTTGTTTTGACTTTTGGATAGGAAAGTTTCGATTTTTTTTCACCGAAAAGGTGTTTATGAATGGGAATAAATTATGTGCTTGGCCGGTAGCCTTCGGCTCGGGTAATAATCAGCATCCAGACTCCAACCGGTCTTAAACATAGTGTTTAAAACCAGCCAAGCATTTTATTCCCTTAATAATGAATGCACTCTGGATGTGTATCTCTGTAGAACAAAGCACGTACTTCAAAGATGGTTACAATGCAAATGAGCTAAAGGCACCAATAGGCTTGTATGTGTACGGTCAAAGAATTGAAAAGCGGGCTTTTTTGGCGCATAATTGTTTTTTACCTTTCATCGCCAGATCCTTGGTCAGCGACACCACCACTCTTCCCTTCATGGACTCGCCAATGTGATAAACTTCCAATTCGTCGTCCAGAAAGACATCAAAGGCTTTCACTGCTCCCATGTTAAACATGGTGGACAGCTAGCTAATTGCCACTTTCCCTTCCACGGATGAAATTTACGATACCACTACGCCATCTCCGCGAGTCATTATGGCGTCCAGCGCAGGAAGCAGCAGTAATTCGTGAGCTCCACTGCTGGTAAATTTTACTTCAGGGTAACACGGAAAATTTAGTCTTGCGTGTCCTGCTACCGGCGTGTCCGTTTGCACTGATGTTTACCGCAACTCAGCCTTTATTGATTTATTATTATTATTTTATTTTCTATTCTATATAGCAAATCTAACCGCGCCTATATGGTATGCATAGAGAGTGGTAAAAGCATTGATTTATTTATTGATCCCTTAACCGCAATAAATCCCAGCTCCGGGTGAATTTCTCTCTGATTCTCGCCAAGCAAAAAGCGAGCAAAAGGGAGTTTTTTCTTCTTCTTCTTCTTAGAGTGAGTCTGGGAAACTTGATGCTAGAGGGGAAGTGACTGTCGTAACGTCTCGTCGCAGAGGGGGGCTCGCTGACACTTCATGGGTCCAACTCTGGAGCTCCCTCACGCAAATGAAGACGGACGGGGTAAAAGAGAAGCCGGTATCCATGGCAACAGGTCGTCCAGGATGCCTGCCTCCTACCTTCTCCTCCTCCTCCTCCTCCTACGATTGAACCGCAAGGTTACCGCTACGAGGGAGTGATTAAACAGCCCCAGATATCATTCCACGATTGCCAATGCATTGTTATCCACTTTCTCTACATTGCGCCATAAGTTAAACACATGGTGATACCACATCAATGGTGAACACAAAGCCTCGTCAAATATCACAGATCCCTCACAGCTCAGTTCGGATAACTCAGCAAATATTGTTCTTTAATATCCAAGTACCGTCCCTTCTTATACTCCTTTCACCGCAGTCTACTGTCGCAATCGCCTGACTACTGGTGCAGTATCACTCGCGACCGCAACAAGACTCGCTTAATTTACCCCCTTGGTACAATGCTCTCCCTCCTCGAAGATGAAATCCTTCAAGTCGATATGTCGTTTATTGAAGACTAGTCCATCCTTAGGTCCGCAAGTGGTCGTTTCTTCCCCTTTCATTTTGTCCAGTATTCCAGGCAGGCTGCGAGCAATTTCAACTGAACATTGAGGTTCACGAGTGTACACGCACGCGGTGTGGCATCGAGTATATGCACTGGCGCTCTCGGCTCTCATCATGCGAAAGCAATTTTTTATCATCATAGCGACGGCCGTTTTATTTTTCGTCGTGTAGTTGGCGTCGAATCCAAGTAACAGCGTTCTTGCAAACTGCATTCTCAATGAAACGATCGTGAGATTTAGTTCATTCAATTTTGATATTTTGCAGGCGATGTTTTTATATTTTTGTAAGGGTAACACATTTAACTTTGTGAAAGTGGATCATACTTAATGTGAAAGTGATGTCTGTGTTCAGATTTTGGAACTAGGCCAATTAAGTGTCTTTTACAGAACACGGTGAAGGAAACGAAAATCATTGTAGATATAGTCATGATAAATACATAGTCACAGTACATTCCGTGCGCATGTGCAGGTGAACATTCCGGGTCACTAGATAATTTGAAACCCTTCTGATGAGATCTCAAAGAAATTAGCCGTCAATAGCGCCTTATTGGGAGGCGGATACGGGTGAAGAGTCGCCTCCGTTTCTGATGCATTGCCAGCTTTCTTGTCTAACCGGTTGACTTGATACAGGAAAGGTTCATAAACGTAACCTCCAACCGTTAAAAGGCTTCACAATAACAAAGGGAACACACTACACCCAGTCACTCACTTGTCCTTGTGATATTAAGGTCCAACCTTACAATATTTTATAAAGAGATGTATTTTTAGCAACGCCAGGGTATTATTCTAACTTGTCGGTCGAGTTATTTTTTCTTTCTTTCAATTAGGTGACCTTTCAATTTTAATTAGCTAGACCTCCCTCTCCGAACATAATTCAAGGTCATTTTATTATTGTATTGCTCACTTCCGATTAATATCTTTTCTTGTCTTTTAGGAACAGCTAGTCCTTTGTTTTAAAAGACACAATTTGGTCCTTTTCAAATGATTTCTGTTAAATTGTAAATTGTAAACCATCGCAATTCAGTCTTTGGACTGCGAGACTGGTAGGAACAATAACAAAACAAACCTCCAATTCAATTCAATTTGTTGGCTGAAGAATATATTATTTTTTGACTACGTATACTTTTTTAAATCAAAAATCAGTTTTAAAGTTCAACCACTTAATTTCATTTCAATTAATTTCATTTCAAAATTAATAAATAAGGCTAAAGGATACCTCCATGTCGAAATTTGTGACCAGTTATAAACGAAAGAAGTTATAATTAATTGATGCGTTATATTTTGATCACAAATATTACCCCACAATCTTCCATCGCGCATATTATGCTTCCTCTTTCATTTGTATTGTCGATTTTTTTCACTCAATATAAAAGCAATGACGATCTCTTGGATTAGGTTTATTTCATTCACTTATATTCTGGTACAATACAAGCATACCTTCTGTATCTGTGAGTTCCATTTCAAACAATTTATCAAATGTTTGCACAAGCAATTCAAGTTTAATCGTATAAGAAAGTATTACATATTTATTGAACTTTAAACCTAGGGCGTATACACTTTGTATACGTGATTTGGCTACGCGTTGGATTATGAGCGCGGTGGCCTTAAGGCCGGCAGAAATCGATTCACCTTGTACTCATTAGCCTTCCCACTTTGACGAGCCTTTGCCACCTCAGCATCAGGAAAGCTCACGGCCGCAGGGGAGGCGATGCGTGCTGCAATCGATATAGGGCACGAGGTTGATTTGCAGCTGGGCTTAGACATTGGTTGCCGTAGATGGCGCTCTATCTAGTAGCTGCACGGTTATAGTTCAATTGGAGTGCCATGGCCTAGTGGTCTGAGGGTATTTTAATTCTGCAGATTGTGGGTTCGAGCCCAGCCTGGGCTATGGTACTTCTACGTCAAATATAAGTAGAGGCATTATAAGTGCCCTGCAGTGGACTAGTTACCCATCCCATCTATTTTCAAACTGTGAAGAGATTAGCTAGATTATTACGTCTTGTTCTATTCAGTGTGAGGGGCTGGTTCTTCCACACTTTCCTCTGAAGCCCACACCTTGAGTTGCCCTCAGTGGCCTTAATATGATGGGAAGTTTGCATTAACAAAATGTGCGTTAAACGTGTGCTGACAATATTAGGCCTCGTTAGTTTCCGTGTCAGTGCAACATTATGCTCTGTACCTGACAATTTAATAATTGGTGGGAACTGTTGTCGAATCCAATCCCAAAATGACAACGCATAGAGGGCGCTTTACAATTTTATCGAACTCCGTTGTTAAGATAGCCTTCCCTCAATATAAATCTGCACGAAACGGTCCTCAAGAGCAGCTACGGCGATATGAATTGTCGACGGTGGGGGGGGGGGGGGGGGGGGGGGGGTTGCTGTACATCTTCAGATCGATGGGGGCGCTGTTAAAAGCGGACAATCTTGGACACTATCGGACAATAGGTGGCGCTCTTCATCCCTGCAAATTTGCCGACGGACTAACAATTTTTCCGACAGGCTGCCGTTCGCCCGCCGTCGGAAAATGTTGCTTCCATCATCGTCCAAATTTCGATTTTCAATTTCGATTGTAATATGCCACTCTGAACCCTCCCCCCCCCCCCTCCCCCTCCCGGAAACGCCACTGACTGCGCGCTGGTTCAAAATCTGTCAAATCTAATGGTACTGAAAATGGTATAACCACTCCCATCCTATATTTATAATCAAAAAAAGCAAATTTAAGGAAAGTATATTTAAAAAAGAATTTATCAGAATTAAAAATAATGAAAAAATATATCACAAATTAATTTTGACTTTTGAATACAATACACATGGTAAAGATTGACGGTTAGGCCAAAAAAAAAGTCTCCGGTTTCTGGTATGGAGCTTGCCCCAAAAGTGGTGCGGCGATGCGGCTTTTTTTCTCTTTTTTTTTACCTGTTTTTTTTTTTTTTTGGCTTCAAATGTCGGCTGATGACTGCAAATGGTGCCCGACTAAACTTAGTTCAAATATATGGGAGTCCAGAGAGGCCACATAAAGCTTATTCTCGATCATAACCCCATCTGAAAACACGTTAAAATTGTGCAGCAGCAGGATTCCAGTCAAACCAGTGAGTTTGGCGGTTTTGAGACATCATCTTGTATTAAAAAGAAAAAAAACTGTTTCATTTTGCCGACGCGCATGGCCACGGCGACGCGCGCGCATACCAGAAACCGGAGCCTTTTTTTTTTGGCCTTAGAATCAGGATCAATTAGTTTACAATTCCACAAGTTATTTTGTTATGAAAGGTAAAGTAAAGGGGACGAACCTGTATTCACAGGAACGGAGTGCCCATCTCTCTTTCATTAGCGATTGGGCCAGACTCATATGCTGCTGTGGGTGAATCGCCACACCACCTCCACAGTGAGTCTGTTACCTTCCCAGCATTGAATAATGCCGGTACCCATTTAACACTTGGGTTGAGAGGAGTAATTGAGGTAAAGTGCCTTACTCAAGGGCACAACACGCATGGCCACGGTGGGGCTCGAACCCACAACCTCTCGATCACGAATCCTGTGCTCCACTGCTAGACCGCTAGACCATACGTGTCTAGCGAATGGTTATAACGGTGGACGGTGACTCCTAACAGCCAATTGATGGCCTATCCGGATTTTTATGGGGATCAGTGATGGGACTCACTTTTTTATATTTGCTGCTGAAAGTTGAAGATGAGCAGGGTTGCTGAAAGAACAAAATGTGGCTGCTGCCCTTTATTGGTCCAGTTGGGCAGTGTTGCTGAAAGAAGAAATGTGTCTACTGCCCTCTATTGATGTAGTTGGGCAGTGTTGCTGAAAAAAAGAAAATGTGTCTGCTGTCCTCTCTTGTTGCAGCAGAGCAACGTTGTTTTCCAGAATGTGTTAACCCCAGTAAACATTGACAAGCACATACACGTTTGCTGAGGCCCCCCAAAAAAGTCTCCGGTTTCTGGTATGCGCGCGCGTCGCCGTAGCCATGCGCGTCGGCAAAATGAAAACTTTTTTTTTTTTCAATGAAAGATGATGTCTCAAAACCGCCAAACTCACTGGTTTGACTGGAATCCTGCTGCTGCACAATTTTAACGTGTTTTTAGATGGGGTTATGATTGAGAATAAGCTTTATGTGGCCTCTCTTGACTCCCATATATTTGCACTAAGTTTAGTCGGACACCATTAAATTGCAGACATCAGCCGACATTTGAAGCAAAAAAGGCAGGTAAAAAAAAAAAAAAACGCGTCGCCGCACCACTTTTTGGACAAGCTCCATACCAAAAACCGGAGACTTTTTTTTGTGGCCTTATTGTGCAAATCGAGGAGTTTCTTTTGTTCCTCTTCCCTTTTCACTTAAACTTTTTTGCAACAGCTCTTATTTGTTTTGTACACGTTTTATCAAGTTCGTCCTCGATTATGTTCCTGTCCTCGATTCCGCGAAGATGTTGCATGTGTGTGTCCTCGATTTCCACCATCAACAAGCACAACTTTGCGTAAAAACCTCCCTAAGAAAGCATACACTGGCGTATAGCGCGTATGATGTTGTTGATTCGGGAAGGAGCAAAATCTTGAGTCCCTTTTGCCCCAGTCCCGCACTAGCACTCTTCTGCAAACACATGGTGAACCACAGGAAGCCTCAATAGAGGGCAGTAAATGACAATTCTAGCACTGTGCAATATTTGCTTAAGTTGTATCCAAAAACTGCTGTCCGAGACTCTCTTGAGAGTGCTCTAGAGGGCTTTCTGAGGGCTGTCTAGAGGGCGCTGTTTCGTTGCACATCGCCTCAGGGTACACCCCAGTAAACAGGCCAAAATCCGGCCGTCCACCGAGCTCATGAATAAAAGTTATACACTCAAATTATTCTACATTAGAGAGTTCCGAGAGCCATGGAATTGGGGAATTGAAGACATAATATTATTATGACACTGCATCTCTGGCTTGGACTCGGGGCTTCCAATTCTTAGCACTTCAGATGTAATGGACCGATCCAGTAAGCTCCGCCCAGTGCGCACGTGAGCAAATTAACACGTGCTTCTCTCCAATGCCACACTGCATTTTCCTGCCGCGCGCATCATACGCGCGTGCACGCATGTCGGACTTTTGTGCACGCATGTCGGACGTAAATCACGGCTGTGATTGGTCAGAACACCATGGGGCGGTGCTTACTGGATCGGTCCATTGGGTCCGAAAGTGGCGCCATTTAGTCATGTTGTGGAGGGATCCTGTTTTTAAAATGGCTACTTTTACAGTTTAGGAACATCACTCGTTTTAGGGGTGGTCTATCTGCTTTGGGTGAGAATTTCTCCAAAAGTCAACGGTCAATCCACCATAAATTGAAAAGAAAAGAAAACACGACATGTTGATTTCTGTGCAAGCTGACACCTGTGAGAGTTTTGAGTAGTTTTAAAGGAATTTCGAAGTATGAGGATTTACCACTGGTGTTTAGATGAGAGGAATTTTATACTGGGGTACTGCACCATGTATGATTTCAAAATGGTAGCACACTTTTCTATTTCAGCCGAATGCACTGTATCAAGTTTTTTGGGTTTGTTTAGGTAAAGGAGCACTTAGTCCTGTCCTCATTGCAACAGTTGCTTTTCGAATATTTTCTGAGTTTATACCTTTAAATCAGGCGCGGTTCTAGGGGAAGGGGGGGGGGGCTTTAGCCCCCCAAAATGTTGTCTTGCTCCCCAAAAAATAAATTCCGTAAAAAGAAATTGCATTAGCAAAAAGAAGGATTGTGATGTACATGCGAACGGTCTCCCCCTAAAGAAATAGTCGTGACAAGGGTGAATTTGTAGTTAATATAGTGTGAATGATTTTAGAATTTTATTGGCGCTTCCCATTGAAAATATGGCAAATTCCGTAAAAAGAAATTGCATTAGCAAAAAGAAGGATTGTAATGTACATGCGAAAAGTCTCCCCCAAAGAAATAATCGTGACAAGGGTGCATTTGTAGTTAATATAGTGTGAATGATTTTAGGATTAAAAAAAAAAATTGAACAAGTTGTGTAATATTTTACACAAGTTGTGTAAACAACAGTTTACACAACGGGTTGCTAAGGTCTATATAGTACACAACCGTTTGATTTTTACACAACCGAAATAACAGTGTACTTGCGATATCAACTAAAACCAAAAATCCTGTGAAATATGGCTAATAATAAAATTACAAGTCAATTAACAAGGCCAGTCACAAGTAACTGGCGATTGACAATATTATTGTAAAGGAAAGCGCTTGTCCTAATTTATGTAAATAGCTTGTGACTTGACTAAGGACTGAACGGCTTGTGATGAACTTATTATGGACTTGTTGCCCATTAAAGAGGTACTTCTTAGACTACAATTAAACCGAGTTAAAATGACGAAATCTCGACATTATACAAAAAAACAACACATCGGTATTCACTATTCATTTCTAAAGCAAAGATCTAACAATAGCTTCACCACGCGGTAGTCAAGGTTACAGTTTTTATCTCGCCACATAAATGACTTTCCAAAGCCAACAGCTGCAGTTAATTTACACCATACCCAACGTGTGATATAACAATAAACCTTGACTTTTCTCACTCTTCTCGGGTTCACGCGTTTCATTAACCACATATATATATATGCTATCTCTCTAGCTCTATCACTTTTGTTTTAGACTCGGCCGACAGTAACCAGTTGCTCATAGCAACCATTATTGCCCCACCAGGTGAAATTTAATAAAAGCCTGGCACCGCAACAATTGTTCCAATCCAGGTGGAAAATGTGCGTGGTTTCATTACAGGCGTGGCTGCAGGGTTAGCACAAATGCGTGCACACAAAAGCGCGGTAATAAACAGCTGAGTTCAAGCGCACCAATTATATTTCTCGATATATTATTCATCTTCTTTATGATAATCAACCCCAGTCTGTCAAGTTTATCAGAGGCTCATAAATCCAGTGGGGGCTGCGAGTGGTAGTTCATTACATTTCCTGGGATTCGACGAACTGCACCTCAGTCGTAAGAACTCTTTCTTTAATCACGTCACTACAATAGCAGAGTGGTCTTTTGTACGAGCTAAATTTGGTGTTAGCGCGCGACTGAACTTGGGGATTGTTTTCTGCAGAGCGGAGTGGGGTTGCATTACTGCCCCAGAAAAGTGCGGATATTTTTGAAGCATCATGGAATGGGTCTGGGGCTGCATTCTGCTGGTTTTGCCAGGAGGGCTGCAAATATCTGCACAAACCGGTAAGTTTTAATTTAAACAAACTGTAGGAAATCAAAATTTGTCATGTTGAAACAAATTCTGTAAAAACCGAGCATTGTTTGAGATATTAAATCGGAAATCGGAAAATCATTATGAAAATATATTGGGCTTGGACCTATCACAACAAAACCTGCCGTGTCAATTTTACACCGGCTATATCCATACAGGAATCGGTGGTGTATAATGTTGGCACCGATGGTCCTTCAAAGATAGCACTCATGTTTCTGCATTGTTCAATTATACAATTTTTGTATAATATTTTCCCAAGTGTGTTTCAGTTTTGTTTCTCAAAGGGCGTTGCGTAGCCAATTAAAACTGGAAGGGAAGCGGACAGTTGTTCTTTTGTTCTCTTCATGAATAAATGATTGAATCAATATTCATTAATACACAGAATTGAGTTGTTTTGACCAACGCCGTGCGCTGCCTTAAGGGAGGGATCAGTCATTTGACGTTTGATTCATTCGTGGTTTCAAGGCTCGTTAATTCGGGGGATATATTAGATATAATGTTTCTGTCCTCCAACACGGATGTCTGAACACAGACTGAAAAGGATGGTGCAAAGACTGTATGGGCACCACTGGTGCAGCATCACGATTGGTATTAACAAACGAAAGGGCTTTGCCGGAACCTCCAAATTTACACTTACGGAGGAAAATCTTTTTTTGGGGGGGGGGGGTTGCTGTAATTTTAGTTTATAACAGTTTCATCCTGTCAGCTGCTATTATCGGTGTACGCTTTACACAAGTACAGTCCCTTGGGATCCCGGGAACCAATTTTTGGAAATCAAAAATAAGCGAGTCTGCTTGAAATTCAGCTATACACCGCCGACAAGCCTTTGGATTGTCGCAACATAGGCCTATTTGGAATTCAAATATTCCTTGACTATGGCAAGTGTATTGTCGCGCACGGTCATTTGGGCTGATGTTTGACCAGAGCAATGCGACCAAATTTAAGATAAACATGCAGAAACATGTAGACACTTTGTGCTGGATGCTGTTAAATATTCCTGTCAATGCTTCCCTTGATTTGTGCTCCCGTTTGGAGAGGGAAGCAAAGATGAGTTTCGATGAAAAGAAAATGGAAGTATCGAAGAAATGTGTTCATCTTTTTTTATATTCAAAAGCTAATTAAAAAGGAGCGCATTATCGCGTTAAGTTAGTCTTTCTTGTTAATTGTTCTAGAAGAATAAGAAGGGAGTTTTGAGTGACATGTGCATGTATATGCGATAAAGCAGTGCTGCAAATTTGTCACATTTATGTTGTGGGTTTAGTTTGAGAATTTCGGACACGACATCGACGGTATTTAAAAGGCCTTGTCGAAGTTTGATCATTTTGTTCTTTCTCCTACTAAACCTGTTTCTGGTGCAGTGTCTTTGCTTCGTACTAACAGGCCTGGATTGTTCAATAGGTACAGTAGGCACTATGCCTAGGGCCTACGAAAATACGGGGGCCACTGCAGTGTGCCATAAAGTTACTTGTTCCGTTGTTGTGAGGACTATACACGAGTTGTCCATGGTACTATAGGGACCGAAGACAGTGTGGGGACAGCGGAAAGTTCCCATAACTCGGTCCTAATTTGCCTAACAATAAATAAAACTTCCCCATAACGCGGTGACGGCCCGCCCACACATGCAAGTGTGTAAACGCCTTCAATCGTGGACCCCATATTGTCCCTCTTTTTAACTTTTTTAGGACAACCTTCCATACGTTTTGCACACGATCGTCAATCGTGGACTTTCTGGAATTGTGGACCCTATTGCCCTCTATTGTTCAACGTTCCCTGTTGAATGCAGAAAGTAACCCACTCACAGTGTGTATTTGCCTGCAATCGTGGACCCCTATTGTCCCTCTTTTGTTTATACTTACTTTTTAGGAAGACCTCCCATTTGTTTTGCACACGAATCCAAATTTGGGACCTCTCGGAAATTGGGGACCCTATTGTCCTCTATTGTTTAACGTCCCCTATTGAATGCAGAAACAAACTCACACCCGTACACAAACTTGGTGTTGTTGTCTAGGGCGCGGTGTACTGCCTATACGGAACACTGGTGCATAGGGGCTATGGAATATCTAACCCGGCCCTGCGTACCAAGGCCGATTTCTTAGAGCCGTTAGTCAGATATTAATAGTTCGAGACACAATTTATGAAATTGACCGTGGTGTCCCCACGCCCAAGAATCTCTGCTCTTTCGAAAGATGCGATAGCTTCAATTTCCACTTAAAAACAATAAAGACACTGTCTGGCACCAGCTGGCTTGCTCTATCTTGGAAAAACCGTTCCTTCACGTTTTCTACGTGTATATGTTTGAGTAAAGAGGTCTGCGTTGACTTCCTCGATCGATCCATGTCCGGTAATGAAATAAGTCGGCAATTACCTACATTACAAGGACGGGCGATGTGATTGTTTTAAGTGGGTCGGTGGATTTCTGTCTGTGACGCCAATTAGAAAAGCGCGCGTCCGGTTGTCCAGGTGCAATTGTCACCGCACATTTTTTTGGGATGATTTTTTTTAAGGTATTGTATACATTTTGGATTTGTCGTAATGTTATAAAATTCACCGATTTAAGGGTTGGTATTTTAGAGCAGATATCGTTCCACTGACCAGTTAAATATTTGGAGATACTGGTAATGGCAAAAAAAAACACGATTAAAAAGTGTTTGTTTTCAATCGTCAAAGTGCAGGTCGCTGTATCTGTCGCACACAGAATGCATAGGTTGCATACATGCACGGCATGCCTGACTGACGGCTGTGTCGTGGGCAATATACATATCCAAGTATCTGGCGGCACGTCAAATATAACTTGAAACTGTTGAATTTATAAACCATTCGCCAACAATTTTGCCAACAGGCTCCTAGATATTCTTTTCACAGCCACAAATGAAATTTGAAAATGATCATTTGATTTTCTTTCCTTTAAGTTCATCATATCCGTAATTTTGATAATGACAATGTTGTTTTATTTTCTGAATTTCTTTTCCCTTCAAGATGAACATTTTATCTTGTTTGAACTAATTATCAATATTCAGAGTGCACACTTTAACTGAAACGTCATCAGTTATATGTAAAGTTGTTATACGTATACGTGAAATTACTTGACCTTTACTTCCGGTGCTATACCGGAAGGTCAAAGTTAGGTGAATTTAAAATGCAGACGTCATTGGGTACCAACCAGCGATTTAAGGTCAAAATGTGAATTATTACTTTGAACTGTAACTTTTCAAATGAATAGCGTAGCAGGCTCACTTTTTGTGGTTATATAGACATTGCAATATTTTGGATCACGGGCACAAAACCGTTTGACCTTTATTTCCGGTGTTACCGGAAGTGCAATGAAAATTAAATATAACTTGAAAACGGAACCAGTTTACTACGGACAAACAAAATATGCAAGTGATTTTTCTCAATTGAATCGAATACTGGAACTTACTTTATTTTTGCAACTGTGCGACGTTGCGTCCGAAACCATCGGACTTCGTCAGGCAACTGGTGACCCGGTGGACTGGTCACGTGAGAGACGGCTAGGAATCCCTTGAATGGCCCGGTCCCATGCATGTGATAGGTTGAAGCGTAGCCAGCCCCCCTCTTTTGTTGAGTGTTGGTTGTTCGACCCTTTCCCAGATGGCTTCCTTGATGTCTCTTTTGTGCCACTGCTCTTCCTTATCAAGGATCACAACATCCTCTGAGCCTAGTGTGACCAGAGTCTCGTAGGTGTTAATGAAGAAGTTCAGACACACAAAAAACAGCATGATGACGTCATCACCTGCAAGGGCGCCCTCTAGCGGCACATCAAAGACAGTTGATTTTTTTAATTGAAATACTTTGTTAAAAACCATTAGTTAAAATTTCACCCAATTGTTCTCAGACATTCCTTGGACAACCGGAAATGATTTTGCAAGGTTTCAGACCGGTCACCAAACCGAAAGTTATTGTAGGGAGAATTTCGAAATGGTCTGTTTTCTTTCTTTCACTTTTAAAGTTCAATCCATCATTTGATGCGTGCCTACTGACAATATGTTCCAAAAATTGTGAGTCATCAAACCGGAAGATGGATATTATTGTTATTAATACATACACTTAAACATCCGTGATAATTTTCGGTTCATGATGAATATCTATCCTCTCTGAACTAAATCAGTATTCACTTTGCAAAGTTTAACTGATAACGTAATCACACCGAAATGACGTGTACTTTGTATCAGTATATTAAAATCGATGAAACCCAAAGGATGCATTTTATTTCCAAAGTCGTTTGTCTGTTCAGACTGTTCTGACAAAAAATTCACAACCGGGCAATGTCCTATGAAATAGTTCTCTGCCCGATCACTCTGCGTCTGTATTGAACACGAATTGCTAATTTGTTTTTGCCTTTATGTACACTTGACTTTTCCAAATACTCTTGTTTCACCATGCAGTAAAACCCTCCTCTGGAATTGTCCGGGTATACTTCTATAGAAAAAAGTAATTGGGTAATTAGCAGGGCATGCTTTTTTTTATGATGGATTAATGGGTCGATTTATAAATTTTTGTTTTCATAAATATGTGGGTATGTGACGACCCAAGGACCACTTATCGCAATATTGACCATGCTATTCTTGAACCAACAGACTTCAAATTCAGAGAATACATGTAGAAATTTGGTGAAAGAGCATTTGTTATGCGCCTATCAAATGTCCCCCCCCCCCCCCCCCCCCCCCCCCCCCCCCGCTGCCCAAGGTTCGATGTCGGATTTGGTCAGTACGTTTTTCATATCCCATGGTGGGGATTTTGGTCACTAAAATTACATTGTTACCATTGGCGTACCACATAGAAAAGCAATCACTAGTAGTATTAACAAAACCCCTGATATGTGATCGCCACATTACGTCAATCATTTCTCACGTTTTGTGTCCACATACAATGCAGTTATTATTATCTCGGGTGAACCGATGTCGTTCTAAAGATTTCAGGGCCTTCAAAGTTAATTTCACTGTACAAAATTATTATAATGGCTCATTGCTTATTGAGGAATTTCTCGTCTCATTTATCTCGGCGCTAAATTACTGCGAACCGATATTACCGTGAACATTTTCCAGTTTGATGCCTCGATTCGGCCGACGCATGCGCAGAATCTTCAGCCGGACAGGGTCACCGAGCATGATAATGATGCCCTAGCGCCTAGTGTCAATTGAGGGGCGTAACATTAAGGGTGATTAATAATTAATTTTGTATAATTCCTGAATATAAACCGATTCTTACCTTCTATGCTTCCAGAGCGACCATGCTCCGATAAGAGCGCATAATAAATAATGTATTTGTTTGTACTTGAATTGTATACAACGCGTTGAAAAGCCGCTCAAGGCAGTGCTTCATAACAACAGTGAAAGGAAAGCAGCTTGCAGATCATTAAGGGCAGAGATGATTTGTTTTTACCAGATGCGAAGCGTGTGGAGGAGGCATTAGCCAAGCACCGCAACGACAATCAGTGTTACAGAATGCACAGGACCTGGTGCACAGTCCGAATGCTTGAGCAAAACGTCTATAGTGTTATGTGCATATATTGCAAGTAACATTAACACGGAAGCAAATGTTCGGCATTCGTTCAGTTTCGTCTTCGTGCGACATTGTCATTAAGCTGTTTCTTAACCTGGCCATACGAAGTTACGAACCCATAAATCAAATCTGCTTTACGGGATTTGTTCTACCGCAGCTGTACTTTAAGGGTTACTTAACCGAAGGAAAGGTTTCTTTACTTGATGCCCAATTCCAACTAGTAATTATACACTAGTAATTCCAACAAGTAATTATATATGAATTTGAGCCTCAGAAATTGTGATTGCGAAAAAGAACTAATTCAAGCTGACAATCTGCGTTATATAGTACGGCTTGATAAAGTTGTCTTCTGGGAATCTAATCTAAAAACGGAAATGAGTTTTGCTTTGTATAGGTCAAGCCTTGAGGCTAGCTAGGCCCAGCACTCTGAGCGTAACCGTATGTTTTCCATTCAACAAAAAGCTTCTGGGCGGCAAAAGTCGATCGTCTTTTTTTCTTCAAATCCTTGGAATTGAGAAAATTAAAAGTCAACAAGAACCAAAACCTTCTACTCCCACACCGCCGTGTTTTTCCTTCTCTGGACCAGAATGTTTCCATTGCTTAATTTCCGTTATGTCGCCTCTTTGAATCTTCACAGAGTAATTGGTAAAAACGTTGTCGAATAAAGAGTATTGATTTGGGTCCTACTTCTCACACATGACAAGGTCTAGTGTGTACAGAAAATAGGTCGACCCCATCCATTTCAACAAATAATCCTTCAATGAGTTTATTGCTTTCTATCCCCCGATCAAATGGAGTATTCCAGGACTTCTGGCCAATCAGAATACTATCCCCGAACTGAATGGTTTATTCCAGGTCCTTTGACGCAGGTAACACCCTTTTGGGCAAAACCAATAAAGGGAAAGGTTTTTTTGTGTGTGTTTTACTCCGATAGAGGAACAATGAGTTTTATTGAATTAAAAAAAGTGGAAATAAAGGTATTTTTCCCTCATTAGTTTTTCATTATACAAGCCATTATGTACACTGAGTGAAATCCTTTCACAAAAATATCGAGAACGTACGCTTTCTTCCTCGAACATATACTCTACAATTCCGTTCCTTCCGTCACAATCTATGTTGTTATTATTATGTTCATCTAAGTGAGCTATATCTGTTATAACACGTAGGCCTACGTGCTTGCTTTACGAAATGGTGTATTTATTTTACAATCCTTCATATCATTGAGAACGAGAATCCTTCTTTCAAGTAGTATTGGCAAGAAGAATGTTATCATTCCCAATGTTAACAATGCCCAATTTGATTTTCGTTTGGTCTAGTTTCCGCCTCGGAGGATCCCAACAGTGTGTTTTGCCATTCAAATCCGTGCCAGAACAACGGAACCTGCGTCAACATGCTACGTGAGTATTTGGCCGTTCCTGTGATTATGTGCACGGTAGGCCTTAAACCATAACAATCTCGTTTCGTGTCGTTAAAGTTTTTGATGCAAAAAATACATGATTTTTGTACGTGGACATTAAACTTCAGGACTAATTACTGTGAGTCCAGCCTGTGTCATATCCAAACAACTAGTAATGAAAACAGACATAGACCTATACAGTTTACGCACATTATAACGTCATCTGATAGAGCCCATTCGGATAAATCAGTCCCTTCATTTTCCTACTCATATATCAAGTTCAGTAAGAACACACATAACTCAAATGTATAACCTGATGGAGACGTCGCTTTGTTCTCGTGTACAAAATCGTGAGAGGGTCGAAAGCTATTTCCAAAATGCTCCTACTTTAAACGGAATTACTTTCCTGGGTTGAAATTCCGACCACATATCCCTAACATAAAATATTTTACTTTACGACACATAGGCCTAGGTATATACCTGGGGAATTCCTTTTTTTTTTTTTTTTAAAGTAACATCCTTGTGGAGACCTATTCACCTTTCGAAATAGCCTTGGGAAGACCTTACAATCTTTTGTTCCGTATTATGGGCAGTCTCGACTCCATGGGCGCATGAGATCGCGCAGGGCATGATGGGAAACAACATGGCGCAGCAAGATCTCGTACCCATGGGAACGAGGTTTCGAAATACAGCCAGCACGAAGGGAGCTGCTGAAAAACCTTTGGCTCGTGGTCTTGAGTGTCAAAATCAAAAGTCAAGGCTGCTTCTGGGAATGGCAGTGTCGGTCATTTGTCCTTGGGGGAGACAATTGTCACTAATTGATTTTCTTGTAAGGGAGAATTATAATTGTCTTTGAATGCAGAGAGGTAGCGGCGTGTGTTATAATTATAGCCGTTGCGCCAAAACCGCAGCACCCAGCTGTACACTTTTAAAAAACTGTCATGGTATTTATATACATGTAGTGTTTTACGAGCTTGACGGGCAGCCTAATTTGTAGCTCCTTAAGTGCAAAAAGTATGCAGATGTGCGGTTTATGCCCTTACGCCTATAACAATGAATTCAAGAGATAAAATAGGCCGTATTATTACTGAAGCAGTAACGAAATGTCTGCATTATATTTCTTTCGCGCTGAACTAATAGCAATTGTGACGTAAAAGTATGAGATACAATTTTAATAAAGAATAATTGACATAACTTCACATAGGAAGTTACATTCGTTTCCTGTCAAAGGGTGGATCGGGCAGCGGGGCCCATGCCCCCCCCCCCCCCCCCCCAAAAAAAAAAACACGAACCCATTTTTTTTTTTTTTTTTTTAAGTGACGTCGCAAAAAAGGCAGGCACTGCATACACCATCCCTCTTTTTCTCCAAAACAATTGGCTAAAGTGGTCAGAAATTGCCTCAAATCGCATCACAGAGCATCTTGAATCCAAAAAGATTTCGGGGCCCTTTTTGGGGGGACCAATTTATTGTTTGGGCCCCCCTATCTGGCAAAAGACCCGAAGTAATTACCAATTGTTCCTTAAACCTTAGAAGTAAGTTTGATGCCTTTTGGTAAATGAAAATCGATAATTAATTCAACCATCCCAGAGCAACAGACAAATTAATATTAATATTATGTGGCAGAATTATCTTCGTCTGGAGACGACGCTGCAGATGCGGCAAATGATGCGGTAAAAGCTGAACGAATAATTGCAACTACCCTTGCCTTTTAATATAATCACATCACATCTGGCAGGCGAGATGTTTGGAGAACATTTGTTTCACAAATCCTTTGAATGATACCCGGCGATTTCTAATAGGCTGGCGGCACTTATTACCACCCAATCCACCGGTTACTGGCTTTCACGGTCTAGTGAGGCGACGGACATTAACTGATGACTTCCATTAAACGATTGTGGCCTCCGTCGTAATGAAGTAATTATGATATGACTTCCCATCCCCAAATCCTATGCGAAACAAGCATACATTATCCAGGGAAGCATAACGAACTTGTAATACAAAATGTACTGTCATATTTCTGTAGATCAAAACACGAATCAATCTTCCAGATAAAAAGTGCATGCATGTTAAATTGACACTGCGGTTTTAATATTGCTTGAGTGTAGGCCATCAATCATGAGCAGTTTTTAAAGAACAAAATATTGAACATACACGTCATGCATGGTAACGGTAAGATTCCAGAATGCACTGACAGTTATAAACAGACAGAATTTGATCATAGACAATATTCGATACGAACCCGGCATTTTAAGCCGAATGAGTTTGATTTCTGACATTTGTATAAAACCGGGAGACGAATTTCAGTATTCGTTTTGATTAGCAAATACGGGTTACCAGCTAACATTGTGCAATGAATACTACTTGTGGGTGGTTCCCTGCTGTTTTTGCTTAGCGCGTAGAGTTGTCTAAGTAATATTTTGTGCGGTATCTCAGTGGAATTAAAGGCTTGGTTTTTTAATGTTTTAGGATCGATGGAGAGTAAACGGAGATCCCAGCTTAAACTCTAGTTTCTGTTTTCTTCTTCTTAAGTGTGTCTTCTTTCCGTATTTGTTCTTGTAGGCCCAGGGAGTGACCGATCCCTCTCGGTATGCAAAAATGGGGCGTGTTACAAGCTCATTTTAGAGAAGAAAACATGGGAGGAGGCAACCCTAGCGTGTAACGTCATGGGTTCATCCTTGATTGCCATGGAAACGACGGAGGTGCAGGGGGACTTTGTGAACACCATCAAAGATCACCATTTGCACAGTGAGTGAATGACAACGAATAACCAGGGCAGGCAGAACTAAAACTTATCGATCGGGCAAATAATCCACTGACGCAGAGATATACTCTAGACTATTGACAGTCGTAACAATATTGTATCTGGATTCACAAAGCACAAGTTCGTAGTGTGTTTCGATCATAATATTATATTCATTTGAGTTTTGTTCGTCTGTTTTCCCCGTTTGTTTTGTTTCGATTTTTTTTTTTTTTTTTGGGGGGGGGGTTTGGTTGTTTGTTGTAAGTCACTTTTAAGACCCTTGAAAAACGCTCATCGATTTTAGGCCATCTCAGCATCCCGATTGTAAAAGCTTTTTTTACCAATGAAGTACACTTTCTGAAGATTATTTTTGCCGAAACAAAAAGGTGACAATTTTAGACAACTTGCGAGTTGTGTGTCCTTTAAAGTAACATTGTTGGGAATCCGAACGAAATACTCATTTCAATTTGGTAATGTAGAGAACACCAAACAAATGGAGATAGTAATTTAGGAATGCCTTGACTGAGGCCAATATTCAATGGAGTGACGTGTTTTGCGAGTGCATGGAGGCTTTTCTAAGCGTAGCAGGCTTTTTTAGTACAAAAGGATGAAATGTGACTTCCAACGGCGAAAGTAATTACAATCGGCGTGGGATCTTTCGTTTGGACGAGACAGATTAAGTTAAGAACTCCACAAGGTTATTAAATTGCGGCTTTTAATCAAGAAAATGATTACGTACATGTATGCGTCCAGGAGTGCCTTTGTACAAACTGGAATGGCCTTCCTTTCATTTCCATTCTAAGGATTTACATGTATTTTAATTATTATTTTATCATGCCCAAGCCCAAATCCAAATATCAACCAGAAAAAGTTGTCGAGATTTGACGATATTTGAGTAATAAACAGCATGCATCGTTCATTAGTCTTAATCTGCGTGATAAAATCGCAACTTCAGCAGACATTTTCGGTATGGAATCTATAGAAATAATCTTAATTTGCCTGGTTCTTGCATTTGCCAATTTTTGGTTTTTTTTCTAGCAACTTTAACGTTTCACTTTGCTGCTTTTTGGTCTCAAATTTTAAACAATAACTATCTCAACTTTCAAATTTTCCCTCCGAAAATGACACCATTTTCATCGTTGCCGGAATTTCGGGTGCTTTGCTGTGGTTTACCTTTCTGCACAGAGTAGTTCGATCATTGTTTTTTTTTTCAGTTCACGACAGTTAAGCAATGAGAAAAAGTCGTGCACAAATGTTTTCAATGAGCGTGACGTTTGGGTTTACAATCCTATATTAAAACAGCCAATGTTGACTGACGTCTGTCTGTTTGATGTCGGGCTGTGTCTGTCTGTCTGTTTGATGTCTGTTTGTCATGTTTATTTTTCGTAAAAGACCTAACAAATGTGCGCAAGCACAAAACACACATACAGGTCCTTATCGAGGTATATATATGCCCCGGCTTCACTGTTCTCTGAAGTTACGGTTGCCACATAAAAAGGGGGCGGGGGCAAATTTGTTTCTTTTTGACTTTCAAACAGTATCTCTTAAACATTCCAAATTTAAACACTCCAAAACGTGTCGCTATTACTCAAAACATAACGTTGATGATAACAAAATGTGGCAAAATTGCTTCACCTAGGTTTACCACGCCCATTGGGGTCAACATGCAAATTGAGGTCAACCAGCCAGCGGAATGCCGCACAAAGCTTAAAAACCTAACTCAAAGAGAGGGTGTGCCTAAAGTGATACCACAACAACAGCGCCCTCGGTTGTGAGAAAAAGCAAGGAACACTTTTTAAACAATAAATGGCACTTTGCAAAAAGTTTTTCTAAAAGGGATGTCTCACAGCATTTTTAAATTTCAGCGCAACGGCTATTTACTACAATTTGATCTGGTGTAAAACTTTTTCATGCCCCTTTAAGTTTTTGTCCGGAGGTTCAATATTCCCAAAATTGTCCTCTGTCCTACACAGAAACTGACTCCCGCCCAGACAACCCAGGCGGCTTCTGGTCTAGCGGCAACAATCTCCTCACGGACGACCGTTGGATTTGGGGCACCGACCCGCGCCATCCCGTAGATGTCTGGTTCCATCCATCCTCCCGCCCGACCAACAACTGTCTCATGCTCAACACGGATCTCACCACGCAGTCCAGGATGCGGCTAGAGGCCGCAGCGTGCGGGAGACAGTTGTACTTCGCATGCGAGCTGACGGTGGAGGCTCTGTATCAGGGTGAGAGAAAAACGGATGGTTCCTATAGAGCCAGAAAGTTTACCCTGGTGGCGCGCTTCCGGACCCCTCGAATAGGAACATTAGCGTGTAAAATTAAGTCGGAGTTTTCAAAATTGTTTTGGTACATTGATTTCTTAAGAAAATCAACCTCAGGAAAGGTCTTTGTAAAATTGTTACTAACATCTCAATTTATTGAAACTGAAAAATCGCATTACGTGAAAGCGAAATATCGCACGAAAAATCGACCTCTCACTTCCAAAATAGTGGAACTCGGTCGGTGCACTCGTATACAAAGATGAAAATATGAAATATTTTTGTTGCGGTCATTGTGTAAAAAAACTGAAAGTTATATAGGAGACTAAATTGTCTTTTGGGATATACAATTTTTGGAATAAACTTGAAGGACTAACTCTCGTTTACAAAAAACTAAACTGACAGTTGGTAAGAACTGTATTCAAGCAAGCCCGACTAAATCTTGAATCCATCGGATGTATAAGGTAGGTAAATCTTTGCATCGTTACCATTTCCGTTCTCACGCAAGTACGCAATGTGAAAACAAACGTGATAGAACTCGTTTTGACCCATCTCCAACTGATCTCATCTCATCATTCTGTCCTGTGGAATGCCAAAAAAAAAAATTCGAATTCAAAAACTAATTAGGCCTATGTATATATATTTTTCTTTCAACGTAGTACATCATGAAACGTAGTTTACCTCGGGAGTGCAGAGATCTTTCGCTCAAAAATTCAGTTATCTTTAATTATTACAGGTGTATAGACAATTAAAAATGTAATGTAGCTTATAAAACTCTGTTTTGCACGATCTTAATGAGCATTAATTGATTCACAGCAAATGACTTGGGACTAGAATTATGTGATATCCTCCCCCCCCCCAAAAAAAAAATAGCTCGGTAACCATGTTCGCTATATTGATTCTCAACAAAGAACCTCATGAGAATGCTCATTTCTTTCTGAGAAAGGGGCAGCATTTGCACTGTTATTAAGAATGACACATTTTTATATTGCATTCAGAAATTTAATATCGATTTTGTGTCACTTCGTAACGTACATCGTGCTTCATTATAACCACAGTCTCACGTGAACGTATTATAATACTGCTACGATACCCTCAGTTATGTTCGATGTGCAGTAATGATGAACACATGAATGGGCTCTTCAATGCTATAGCACCTGTTTCTGACTTTGTGACGCCACTCACATTCAAATTTAAATTTGTAATAATAAAAGAGTAATGGAACTAATCTCCGAAGCTAATAACAGAGGAAGTATAAGGATATACAGGGTGAATCAAAAAGCGGAACCCAAACCCCCAAAAATATATTTCATATTAAAACAAAATGTGTAGCACCAAACATAATAATGACTGGAAAGCCAATTTTATAAGCTACTTTTAGATGACAAAAATACTGAAATTGCTCAATCCGTTCAAAGAATATCACCATTTAAACGCAATAACCCTAAAACCTGTTTCGTCCAAAAAAAAACACAGTTTATTGTGTGTTGAATTCGTACTGTTTGGAACAACAAAGAAAATGACACAGATTACTTGTTTCAAATCTGTCAACTACTGTAGTACACAATATCTTTATTGACAATTCTGGTTAGGCAAGCAATATGATTTATAAAATCCACTTTTTTAAAAAGCCGCGGGCCTTCAAAAGGACTTGTTGAATATTTTTTACTTTTAGACTCAGGTTTTATCACTGGTGATGTTGGAAGACAATTGTGACGACGATTCTTGAAATCGCATTTTTTGGACGAAACAGGTTTTAGGGTCATTGTGTTTAAATGGTGATATTCTTTGAACGGATTGAGCAATTTCAGTACATTTTCATCTAAAAGTAACTTATAAAATTGGCTTTCCAGTCATTATTATGTTTGGTGCTACATATTTTTTTAAATATGAAATATAATTGTTGGGGTTTTGGGTTCCGCTTTTTTTTACTCACCCATAATGAATGACAAAAAATATTTTAAAATAAAAGAAGAATCGACACGTGTCGCGTATACGGAATTTCAGAGTTTGTGTGTGTGTGTGGGGGGGGGGGGGGGGGGGGGTGGAAACTTGCCCGCGGTGGTTCTTGGGTCACAGATATCGTTATGGCTCCGTTCACGTCTGCCTATAAAACTACGGTCATGACATTACAATTAAATGAATGTTTTTGTTACCAAATTCAGCCGATCGAATTCTTCCGATGTATACCCTTGCAAGAATCTGCAATTGTTCACCTAAAAAACTAATCGGTTCGTTTTAATGTTCCTATCCAACCGCGCCTTTGCCTACTTGGTTCCGATTAAAGATTAATTATTAAAGATTAATTGATTGTCTGTTTTTCTCCCCCACTTTTCCCAGAGAGGACATTTCAGTGTCTCTGTCCGGAGGGCTATTCCGGGGAGTTCTGTCACCATACATCAGGTACGATATTGCTTCAATTATTCATTGACCGTACAACTTTGTTCAGGCCTATGCCTTCATATTTTAAAGATGTATATCCCTGCTCTTCACACACACACAAAACGGATTGCCTTCTCCTAATTTGATTTTTCAATTTGTATATTTTATTTTGGCAAAAAAAACACCTACTCCTATACTCCGATTTTGGGCGTCCGCAACCCTCAGAAAAAAGGCGCGCACAGAATGAGCCCGCCCTGTGGCCTGGAGTGCCGATATTATATCATAATTCGATATTTTGTCCAGAAATAATTCAATAACTAAACGCCGGTGGATTTTTTGTGTTGGATGTCCCAATCAAACGTGAATAACCTTTATAGATCTAGGGAAACTATAGCACGGCCGGGGATTGTTTTGAAATGGTGCGGTGTTAATTTTCTCAATGACATCAGTGCTTATACTGTTTATAGGCCCCTATGGACCAGAAGTTTCAAGTTCTTCGTAACCCCGGAGAAAATATGTCGGATAGGATTAAACGAAAGAAGCCGGCGTGTAACATTCGGCCCCTCCAGGTCCCTCCCCCTCCCCTCCCGCCGGTTATGGTCCGCCAACGACTAGGCGGTGTGCGGAGTAGACTTGATGACAAGTCGTTAGATAGTCGTATTTTGTCTGTGAACTCCAGTCGAACTCCATCGGCGCGGCTGGTATAAGCCGGACTAGTACGTAATCGGCCGGGTTGCGACGACTTGACGGGCACGTTCTCAGAACGATATTCGTATAATTATGCGTGCAGCGCATACGCGCAATACATAATGCAGTGATCTATGCGGTGAGATATCCAATGGCGCACAGCAATGATGCAAATGAGGACTCGTTCATTCCGTTACATGGGGAGTTCTTCTCAAAACATCGGGACATGTTTGCAGATCGGGCGACGTTTAACAGCCAAATCCCTCAGCTTGGTCAACTGTGTATGGAAATAAAATGTATCATTGTACATTTTTGTAATATATTGATTTATTTGAGTCGTGTATGCCCTGTAATGAATTTTGGAATGTTTCACAACACAAAGCACAAACTCTCAAAGTAATGAGACTGACCTTCTGTAGCGGCCTAGAATACATAGAATTCGCATAGAATTCGCTAGCGATTCAAAATACTCTCATATGTTGTGTACAAAATCGAAAACGTTTTCGCCAAGTCGGTTATTGTCGAACATCAATAGTCACAACCTCGGTCCCCATGGGTACGATCGTGCTGCGCCATGTAGTATCCCATCATGCCTTGCGCGATCTTAACCCCCGGAATTGTGTAATTTAAATGTTTCGCTCGTACCCCTGCAAACAGGACGCTGGGATACTATACTCTGATCAGCTTCACAGAATCTTGTGAAGGAAGTGGCCTATGACCTGTGTATAAAGCATCTGACTGCAGCTGTTCAAGACCGCATTTAGCCTGCGCTCAAATGTTATCCGAAACTTCCCATAGAATTACGCACATTCCATACCGGATGTGATTTCTGTTTCATTGCGGAGGACCAGTGGACAAAATTTAGAGCGTCGCATAATGCATTCCCACCGTTCGTGACTCGAAACGGAGCCTGAGCGAGTGTCGGGAATTGTAAATTTACAACACAGATAAGTTGTACAGAATTTCCTACATTATTACGCTTTTTCAACAAGAAAAAAACATCTCTAACTAAGAGTAATGAATCAGTCTTAACGGCCGTTTCAAGCCTTGCAGAATCATGCCCTTGATGACGCACAGGTCACTGGTCACGCAAAATCCAACCAATCAAAGCGTGAATTCATCAGAGTATCCCAGCGTCTTGTTTGCAGGGCGGGGGTACGAGCGAATTTAAATGTGTCAAAATACGGCACATTATAATTAGGCTGCAGTTTATCCGTTTTACGTGCCGACGCCATCTTTAAAATGTTAAAAGTTGTGATTTTGAAGAATCAATCCTTTCAAACAAAACGTTTGGACGTTGCGTTATTTAGCAAAGATTTGTATTAAATGTACGCACCCCTTTCGTCCCTTTACAACCGAAGATACAGGGGTTTTTTTTAGCGAAAAACGAGGCTGCCATCAGTGTTGTAGGTCTCGAGACCGGTCTCGGTCTCGGTCTTGAGACTACTTTTTGCTGGTCTCGGTCTCGGTCTCGGTCTCGGGAGCTGTGGTCTCGGTCTTGGTCTCGGTCTCGGTCCCCTTTGGTCTCGATATTTTGGCTGGTCTTGAGTCGAGACCAGCCAAAAAGAGAGGGGGCGGATTTCGCCCCGGCCCCAGTTTAGGATTAAGTAGGGAATCAGTTGAGGGCAAATGTGACTGCAGTGTAATGATGATAGACATGTCTCTCTTCACTTTCTAGTGAGTGAGGCATAGTCAAACAACCATTGCTCCTTTTCTTATTTCTTGTTTTTATTGTGGGATGGTTTGTTGAAACAAGCACTTTATAGCCATCCTCATTGATTCCAAATACAACTGAGATTAAAATCTTATGAATCAAAATTGAAGCATTATTTTTACGTCAGATTTTTTGTTTTGAATATGGGAAACAATTAAACTCTTTTTCCCCAGAAATACTGGTGATTTTTTTTCTATTTTCCTTTTCAATTTTTACTTTATTCGTGGAGGCGGGAAAACGTTTTTTTTTTTTTTCATTATATTTATTAATGGATATTCATCAATTCGTAGACCGTTAAATTGCTATTAGTGGTGGACAGCTGAATTTTGTGATCTCTTTATTAAAATAGGCACGACTTGGGAATAGAGAATGCAAATTTTCAGAGTTACTACTCAATAACATGTTCTTTATCACAATTATATATATCTTTTAACAAATATGGAGGGTGCCATTTCTTTTTTCTTTTTTATCATACTGTCACTTTATTTTTGACTTGCCATGTATTCATCTTTTCGTCTGTGATAAACACAAATTGAGCTACTGCCATAGTCACACAAAAATAGAGTCTAATTGCCTGCCTCGTCTCCTTTCTAAATGTCAGTTGCGTTTGCATGAGTCGAGAAGACTTTTGTTCCATTAATCGCTAAAAGCTGTTTACGGCCATCACAATAACCAAGAGTAAAATATTGGCAATATGTTGTACTTGTAAATTACTAAAATATTTAAGTATTATCGCCCGGCATAGTAGCCGATGCGGGTGATACGCTGGTACAAAACACAAATAGGCGTGCGCACGCAGCCATGAATCCTAAAAGTACATCTCGCCCACCACATTCAGTTTGTGACAGCGCCCTTTTATTGTGTCGGCCTCATTCTCAAATAGGCTAATGACGATGATGACGGCGGGCAGATTAACAGAAGATAGATCAGGCAAATAGGGTTCATCAATCTTCTATAGTGTATGTAATGGTATTGACATTATACACAAAAAAAGTTGCATTACATTTCAGCCTAAGCCAGGCCTCTCTGGCGACCACCTCTCAATTTTTGGGTCTACATGTACAAGTCTATATTCCATGACTGAAATTTTAAAAAATAAATCAATACTTTCTTGCTCCAAATTATTTTTTCATCAGGTTTACAAGGAAGTCCAATGTAAAATTAAAGCTGCTTTTAAATATCTGTTAGTAGTCATTGCTGAAACCAAGGGGTGGCTGTGGAGTTTGGGTCCTGTAACAGTTAAGTTTAGTTCCTATAACAGATGAAACATCCACCTTTAACTTTTTACTTTTGTCAAGTTTCAACATCGCAAAAAACTAGTACAAATTGCCGTACTCCTAAGTTAGAGTTTCTTCATCAGATTGACACTTTATAGTAGTTAAAAGATATTATATTTAAAAAAAATATGCTTTTAAAAAAGCATATTATAAAAAAGATATATCGACTTCATCAAATTAGGTTTTCCCCTTCTTCAAATTAGGTTGTTTCCCTTTTTTTAATTGATTGTGACAATAACAAAATATGTTGCCATGTTGTAATTTATGGTATGAAGCAAACATGAAGAGCACTCGCATGACACAATTAAGCAGGTACAAGTGATTCCTAGCTTTCAATCACTTCCTTCACATCCCCATCACATCATCATCTCAAGGACAGACTGTTCAGCTGTAATTAGTGACTTGTTTTTTTATTTAAATTATTGTTATTTATTATCCGCGGTCTCGGTCTCGGTCTCGGTCTCGGACCATTTCGGTCTCGGTCTCGGTCCGCCTTGAAGGGGTTGGTCTCGGTCTCGGTCTCGGTCTCGCAACTTCAGGTCTCGGTCTTGGTCTCGGTCTCGGACTATCCGGTCTCGACTACAACACTGGCTGCCATAATCCATATCGTACAGGCATCGCGACTTTTGAATAACATTTTTTTTTCGTACGTTACGTTACGTGCAAAGCACGCGAGCGCATTATGGGCGCGCCCGGCGGCGTTATTTTTATTCCTAGGAGGGTTAGGGGCAATGTCATGAATAATTCATGTTTATCCATGAGAACGGACAATGACATCAACAGCATTGTTGTTAGTTACTCAACTAGTTACAATACATTAAAGCATTTTAAATAACGGTTGTCGTCGAGCTACCACACAGTAGCCTAGTGGATAGCGAGATGAGCTATGGATACAAAGATCCCTGGTTCGAATCCACGTCGTCGCTGCTCATTTTCATCAGCTATTTTTCTTCTCCAAATTTATCACGGAGATAATTTTAAATTAAGGGGAAAATGGAACGAGAACCTAAGTCTTGCAATGATTCAAAAGGAAAAACTGAATTATTCATGACATTGCCCCTAACCCTCCTAGGAAAAAAAAATTACGCCGCCCGGCGTGCAATCTTCGAAATGCGCGCGCAGTACGCTGTGAATAGCCATTCAGCGTCATTACGTCATCATCACGGCCAGGGGTTAGTGTAAGGAACGCGCACGCGCCCATGGAGTCGAGGCTGCAATAGTCAGCATCATTTTGGTCTGGGAACCAGGCTACGCCACTGATCTCTACACTAAAAAACGTGTATAGAGTCCTGTAGAGATCAGTGTGAGTGGAATCAGTAACCTGCGCGGTACGGGTGTATTTC